TGCTCCTCCTTTTCTCTCTCATCACCATCCTCCTCCTAATCCTCATCCTCGTCTCCATCGCGGGGCAAGCGGTCCATCATCAGCTTCTGCGAGTACCTCTTGTTGCCGCCCACCTCCAGGAGAGCGTCGACCACCAACTTGAAGACCTCGCATCGCGAGGGGTCCCGTCGTCGTCGTCGCCGTCGACGGTCGTCGTCGTTCTGGTCGACGCCGTCGTCGACCTTTCCCTCGTCGTTGTCGCCGCCGCCGTCTTCGCCTTCATCGTGATCGTGGTCGGTCGGCATCGTCGTCGTCGTCCTCGTCGTCATCGGCGTCATTGTCGCCATCATCGTCGTCGACGTTCGCGTCTCCTTAGTCGTCGTCGCCGTCGTCTTCGTCGTCGTCGTCTCGTCATCGTGGCAGCGTCGTCGTCATCGTCGACGTTCTCGTCTCCTTAGTCGTCGACGTGGTCGTCGCCCTCCCCTCGCCATCGTCACCGGGCCTCCAATTCCTTTCTCTTCGGGCGGCTGCCGAAGTCGGAGGCTGTGTACGCGTAGTCGGTCACGGTGCCTCGAATGCGGCACGGGCTAGGAAAGAGATCGGAGAGGACGAACAGGAAAGAAGCAGACACTCTAGGAGAGGAACTCTCAAGGACGTGTGTCAGTAAGGACCTCGCATCGAACACCGATCGGTCCTCTTCGCGCTCACCACTCTCATCCTCCTCACCCTCCACCCCTGCCTCACATGATCATGGACGACAACATCATCGCCATTATCCTCCCATTAATCATCACCACCCTCATCGCACTTCTAGCTCATCAGCTTCATCATCTTCATCCTCGTCCCCATCCCCCTTCTCATCGCCCTCCTCTTCCTCCTCATCGTCATCCGAGTCATCCTCGTCCGAGTCATCCTCATCACCCTCATCCGCTGCCTATGATCTTCGGCCACGACTTGTCGATCTTCCCCAGCAGCACCTGGGCTATAAAGGGGTGCCCTCGTTCCATCCTTCTCTGTGTACTCCTCCTCATCCTCACCTCCATCCTCCTCCTACTCCCTCTCCCCACCCTTCCCTCGCACCACCCCGTACTCCTCATCTTCCCTACCCTCGTCATCATCATCATCATCATCATCATCATCATCAGCAGCAGCATCAGCATCATCATCATCATCATCATCAGCATCAGCATCATCATCAGCATCAGCATCAGCATCATCATCATCAGCATCAGCATCATCATTATCAGCATTATTCATACCTTGGCACCTGCGACAGCGTGTCCTTGTCGACCTTGGCCGTGCCCTCATGGCGCGCCATGGGGCTTGTCATTGGCCCGATCTCCCCTTCCTCAGCCTCTCCTCCCATCTCCTCCCCCCCCATCGCCCCCCCTCTCCTCCGCTCCCCTTGAACTCGAACCTCTCCTCACCCAGCCCCCCCCCTCGGCAAGCGGCGCCGCCGGGGGCTGGGGCGGGGGGCGCGCGCGCGCGTGAGCCCCCTCGAGAGCGCGGAGGGCGAAGACGACGACGGAGGACGAACGTCGTCGTCTTCGATCGTCGTCGTCGTCGTCGTCGTCGTCGTCGGTCGTCGATCGCAGTCGTCTTGGACCCCTCGCCACGGCGTCGTCGTCGATCGTGCGATCGACGACGACGGCGATCGAGGGTGAGTGATCCAAGACGACGACGGTCGACGGTCGACGTCGACGAAGCCGACGTTCGAAGACGACGAAACCCCAGACCTCCAGACAGCCCTCAGGCGGCGCACCAACCACGACGATCGACGAAAGTGACGACGACGAATACGATGAACGACGAACGACCGACGACGACGATCACGATCGACGATGTTGGAGGACGTCTCGAGGCAGTTTCCTGGCTCGGGCGGTCGCGCTCGACCTGATCGCCTGCACTGCTGCAGCTTGGGCGGCCGAGGGAGGAGGAGGAGGAGGAGGAGGAGGAGGCGGAGGCTCGAGTGAGGTTGAGGATGATCGAAGAGGCTGGAGGGAGGTGAGGCGCCCGCTCTGATCAGGGCTCGCTGCCCTTGTCGATGGCCGCCTGCTCGTCGCTGCTCCCGACGTCGATGGCCGCCTGCTCGTCGCTGCTGTCGCCGACGTCGATGGCTGTGCCCAGGACGCCTCGCCTCCAACGAGGCCTCCTGGCTCGTGGCGCCTGCGCGGCGCTGCCGTCGTCGATGGCCGCCTGCTCGTTGCTGCCCGTGTTGCCGACGATGGCCGCCTGCTCGTCGCTGCCCGTGCCGTCGATTGCCGCCTGCTCGCCGCTGCCCGTGATGCCGTCGATGGCCGCCTGCTCGCTGCCCGTGCTGCCGTCGATGGCCGCCTGCTCGCTGCCCGTGATGCCGTCGATGGCCGCCTGCTCGCTGCCCGTGATGCCGTCGATGGCCGCCTGCTCGCCGCCCGTGTTGCCGTCCGCCTGCTCTGCGCTGCCCGTGTTGCCGTCGACGATTGCCGCCTGCTCGCTGCCCGTGATGCCGACGTCGATGGCCGCCTGCTCTGCGCTGCCCGTGGTGCCGTCGATGGCCGCCTGCTCTGCGCTGCCCGTGTCGACGATGGCCGCCTGCTCGCTGCCCGTGATGCCGTCGACGTCGATGGCCGCCTGCTCCGCGCTGCCCGTGCACGCGTCGATGGCCGCCTGCTCTGCGCTGCCCGTGACGCCGTCGATGGCCGCCTGCTCTGCGCTGCCCGTGTCGTCGGTGGCCGCCTGCTCTGCGCCGCTCCGACGTGCACATCGCCTACGACTCGGCGAGATCGCGCGGCCAGATCTGGCCTGTCGCTCGGTATATAGGTACATCCACACGGACGGAACTACCCATTCTACATTGTCGGTGTCATGGATCCATGGATATGTCCAGCAATTCAATATCGGGTTCCAGACTGGCTGAGGCCGATCTTCGTCAGCATACTCGTAAAAAAGCGGCTCCATCTGAGCCTGAGCCGAAACCCCTACGGATGGGTAAGGATGCATGTTCGTGGATGCCCCAGGTGACGTGTCATATCTCTGGATGCACTAGTGCCAGGGGCAAGGGTGCTTAGCTGTTTTCTGTGTTCGGGGCAAGGATGCCAGAGTGCCCAGGGGATCTGTCTATATTGGCTCGAAGCAACGTGCATGCCTCCAGGTAAGGATGCTAGCCTCGCGGGGGCTGGGTTCGTGTGTGTACATTTTCAACAATCAATACCTATAACCCAAAAATCAATACATAAAACCAAAAATCAATACATGCAAAAAAATCAATACATCTGACAAAAAATCAATACATCCACACACGGTTGAAAAAATCAAGACAATCACTCAATATCACTACGTTTGAGGCGTCTTGAAAAAATCAACACTTTGGATGTCTGGGATTGGGCTATAGGGCCACAAGGCACCCCCGGGCACCCCCAGGCACCCCCGGGCACGCCCGGGCACCCGGGCACGCCCGGGCACCCGGGCACCAGGGCACCAGGCACCCCCAGGCACGCCCGGGCACCCGCGGGCACCCGGGCACCCGGGCACCCACGGGCCCCGGGCACCCGGGCACCCCCGGGCACCCGGGCACCCGGGCGTGCCGCGAAAATCGGCGGCGAGCCTAACCTAACCATATAAATCCGCTAGGCCCCCTACAGAGGCAAGCTCTGATTGGGGAATATTCGCTTGTTCGCTCTCGCCGTTTCGCTTCCGACGGGCCTCTGAGGCCTCAAGATGACCCCAAGATGACCCAAGAGAGCTCCAAGAGCCCCCCCAAGGGGGGCCCAAGAGCTCCCCTGCACTAGGAGCGCCCACGAGCGCCCCACAAGCGCTCGAAGATGGCCCCCGGGGGGGGGGGGGGGGGGGGGGGGAGGGGGGCAAACTAAGGACCCCCCCCCTCTTGAGCCATGGGGCGTAAGACTGCCCTAAGAGGACCCCAGGAGCCCCCCTTCACCCCCCAAAGAGCCCTAAGAGGGCCTATATGACCCCCCAAACGATTCCGCCCCAAGAGGGCCCCGAGAGGCCGTCAGGAGACCCGCAAGATGCCAAAGATGGCCCCAAGAGCCCCAACGGGAACCCATGCCACAAGGCCAGGGCACATCAGAAGCCATACGCCATACGCTCTCGATCCCCGAACCTCGACCGTCCGATCCGCCCGCAGGAGAGGTGGCGACGTCCGAACCCTACCCCCACCAACCATCGACTCTCACGAATCGATGGGAGGCGGGGGTAGGTCGGGTCGGGCGAAAGGGGGGGATAGCAAAGGGGGGGGTTGAGAATCAGCTCACGTATAGCTGATTTTCCCGGCGCCTCCCGGCGCCGGAGGCGGCGATGTATCGAGGAATGGGCCCCTCGGTGGGGCCGAAACCAGCTGCATGCAGCAGATTTCGTAACCCCCCCATTCCCAATCCCCCCCTTTCGCCCGACCCGAGAATCGATGGGAGGCGGGGGTACGGTTCGGACTTCACCACGTGCTCGGCGAATTCCGAACCCTGCCCTCCACCGCCCACCGAGCTGCCTGGCATCGTTGACCCGCTAAGTGGGGCTCGGACTCCGCCGCCGCCAGGACCCGGGAGCACCGACAGGCCGAGCCCTCTCGATCCTCGGGCCTCGGCCCTCGACCCCCGCCCCCCTCCCAGACCCCCTCGAGTTATGAAAAAATCACGACGGGAGGTTTGTCACTATTTTTGGCCTCTGGGGGCCCTTGCCGGCCCTCCCGACGAGGTCGTCAAAAAAATGACGAGGCCGAGCCTGCATTTTGACGAGGCCTCCCGCTGCAGGCATCCCACGAAACTCCTCCTCGTCAAACTCCGAGGCGCGGTCGCCAAAAAACGAGGGCGAACCCGAGTCCTGGCAAACCCGGGTCTTACGCTCCCCCGATACGAGTCTCATGCGAGATGACGTAGCGGCCTTACGCTGTGACTCACGCGGGCCGCCAGCGCGGCACGCCACATTGGAGACGAGGGCGCTTACGCGCGACCTTACGCGTGCAGCTTACGCCCTTACGCTGGCGCCGGCCCGCCGGAGCAGCAGGCCGGCCGCGAGGGCGGCGTGCCGGCCTGGGGCCGCGAAGCGGCTGGGCAGGAGCCGCCGCAGGAGCGGGGCGACGGGCCCGGCGGGGTCGGAGAGCAGGCTCAGGCACACGAGCCGCGGCAGCACCAGGAACAGCTCCGCGTCGCAGTCCTGAGGGCAGTCTCGGGCGTCTGGCGTCGCGTCGTCGTCGGCGTCGCCGTCGTCGCCGTCGTCGTCGTCGCCGTCCTCGGCGTCGGCGTCGTCGTCGGCGTCGTCGGCGTCGGCGTCGTCGTCGTCGCCGTAGTCGCAGTCCGCCTCGTGTGCGAAGCACATATCCGTATCCGCGGCCTCGCGGGCGGGACCCCTGGGCCGCGACGCCGCGGATACGGGGCGTTTTTGCGCGGGTGCTCCGCGCAAAAAAAAACCTATCCGTGCGACCGCTCGTCCGCGGGAGCGCGCTCCAGAATCCAGACCGCATGTTCGCCGCTCGTCCCCTCGCGTCGTGAGGAAAGCGCAGGCGGGGGGTACTGTCGCGAATTTATATCTCTGGGCCATCTCAACTCTGCTCAAGATGGAACGTCGGCCCGTGGGGCGGGGTGGAGACCTCTGGGGGTCGAACACGTCGTCGGGTGACTAGGGATCGAAGACAGAGGCCTGAGACGTTTTCTGGCGGCGCGCAGAAAGGGGTGGGGTGAAGGGCGGGCAGCTTTCTGATGCAGGCAAGACTTGTATCCATATCCACCGCGCCTGCGAGTTTCGGGGCCCCTTTTCCCAGAAACCAGAGGCGCAGTGGATATGGATAAACCACTGACCGCTAGAGGCTAGATGCTTATCCGCATGCGCTGCGCCACTCCTTTTTGAGTGTCCCTTCCCAGAAAGTCCAAGACGCTGTGGTTCTGTATATCTGAATGTTGCCCGCATCTGAGAAGGTGGTGGCTTTCTACGGGGGGTCGGAGGCGTCTCAGGAGGTTTGTTGAAGCCTCCGAGGCCTTGCAAGTTCCAAGGAACCCCCTGCCTTTTTAGAATGCCCCACCCTCTCGCGCTGGCCCCCGCTCCCTGTGACGCCCTCTTCGCCGCGGCCAGCACACGCACCCGCTGCCAGGCGTCCAACAAGTCTTGATCGCTCCGTAGTCCAGATTGTCTTCGTCGCAAACAAACAGCACATGGCAACATTCCTGGAAAGCAAGGCCCTCATGGAATATAAAACCTTGCAAGCTTCCCGGCACGTGCTTGTGGTCGCACTTCTGAAGCCAGACAGTCTCATACGCCGTTTCTTATATGCAGATGCACATTGACATGCAAAACCTTACCGGCTCGCTACGCTTCGCCGTCACAATTTTGGTCGCATGGCGCCAGCGAGGTGCGCTGCGACCGCCATCACCGTCAATGGGGCATGGGGGAATGGGGCGGCGCGGTCCCAGAGCTATTGGAGATGGCGGGCGCCACGGGTCTGGAAGGTCCCCTGAAGGCCCTAGGCCGCACGAGGTTTGTACTGTTCATGGGGGTCACATGGTCACATGTCTCATGGAGTTTGAACGGTATACGAGGCTCATCGTTTTCAACAGGAATGAAGAGCTCCCTGGGGGCTATGTTTCATGGGTCTGGAGCTGGGCTCGAGCTGGATCTGAGGCTTGAGCTGGAGCTGAGCTGGCGCTGGAACTGTAGCTGGAACTGGGGAGTTTCTGCAAATGCTACAGCACCCCGTCCTCATCCTTCTCCTCCTCTGCCTCGTCCCCTAGGAGGAGATGAAAAGCTGGACGGTTGGATCGGGTCACAACATCTCCATCCTGGGAGAAGAGACCTGACAACACCGAAAACACGATTACCCCCAAAGCCCTCTACTAAGGGCACATGGGATCTGGTGTACTTGTGGGACCAGCGGGTTTACCGGACCTACGGCACCTGAAGGACATGTGAACCCGTTCCTTGCGACACCTGTAGGCATTGCGGGACCTTCGACACCTGTAGCAGGACCTGTAGGATCTGTGCGACCTGTGATACTTGTGGTGCCTGCGATACCTGCGATACCTCTAGGACCTGTGGAGCGTGAGGGACCCATGGGACCCGTGGGACCTGAATTGCCAGTGGAGCCCGCGAGACGTGCGACACTTGTGGGACCTGTGGGTGTGCGACTTGTGGGACATGCGAGACCTGTAGCAGTCGCAGTTGTGGGTCCTGCGAAAGCTATAAACCTGTTGAACCCGTTGGGCCTGTGGGACCAGTGGGACCTGTGGGACATCTAGGACCTGCGAGATCTGCGAGACCTGTAACACCCGTCGAACCTGTTGGACATTTGGTATCCCTGTAGCACCCATGGGACCTGCGGGACCATCAACACCTGTGGAACGTGTTGGACATGCGGGACATGTGGGACATGTGCGGCCTGTGGGATCTGTGGGACCTGCAAGGCCTGTGGGACCTGTAGACCTGCGAGACATGTGGGACCTGTTGGAACTGTGGAACGTGCGGGACCTGTGGGCCCTCTGATATCTGCGAGACCTCTGGGGCCTGTGGAACATGAGGGCCTTGCAGAGGCCTGAATGGGAGACTTACGGGGGGCTCTTGGTGGCCCCCGAGATCAAATCATTGAAACAGTTCTAGGGTTTCCCCAGAAGATTTTGACGATTTTGACGAAGCCTTCGGGACTCTTGGGGACCTCTTGGGGGCCTCTGGGGGCGCCTTCGGGGCCCCTCGGCTGTCTCTGGGGCCATGTTGAGGGGAAAAGCTCGAAATGTCATTTTGATTTGTACACTGAACGCGGCTTGGGTCGCAAATTCTCCACCTGGAACGAATGCACAAGAAACCCACCGCAGGCGCCGAAATTTTGGCTTGTTCCGTGAACGTAGTTTGGGTCGCGGGTGGGTCGCGGAATCTCCACCTCCACCTGCAAGGAATTCAAAAACAGCCCGCCGCAGGCGCCGAAAATTTTGATGTGTACACTGAACGCGGTTTGGGTCGCAGGTTCTCCACCTGGAACGATTGCAAAAGAAGCCCGCCGCAGGCGCCGAAAAATTTGGGTGGGTCGCGGGGTGGGTCGCAGGTGGGTCGCGGGTGGGTCGCGGCGGGTCGCGGGTGGGTCGCGGGCGCGGCTTGGGTCGCAGGTGGGTCGCAGGTTCTCCACCTGGAACGAATGGAAAAGAAACCCGCCGCAGGCGCCGAAAAAACTTGGGTGGGTGGGTCGGGTGGGTCGCGGGTGGGTCGCGGTGGGTCGCGAATAAATCACAAGTAAGTCGCGGGTGGGTCGCGGGTGGGTCGCGGGTGGGTCGCCGGTGGGTCGCGGGTGGTTCGCTGGGGGGATCTCCCGGTGGGTCTCGGGCGGGTCGCGGGGTGGGTCGCGGGGTGGGTCGCGGGTGGGTCGCGGGGTGGGTCGTGGGTGGGTTGCGGGGCGGGTCGCGGGTGGGACGACGGCAACAACAAACAACAACAACAACAACAACAACAACAACAGCAGCAACAACAACAACAACAACAACAACAACAACAACACCAACAACAACAACAACAACGACAACAACAACAACAACAACAGCAACAACAACAACAACAAAAACAACGACAACGACAACGACGACAACAACAACAACAACAACACCAACAACAACAACAACAACAGCAACAACATCAACAACAACAACAATAACAATAACAACAACAACAACAACACAACACCAACAACAACAACAACAACAACAACAAGAACGACAACAACAACAACAGCAACAACAACAACAACAACAACAACGACAACAACAACAACAACAACACCACCTCCACCACCAACAACAACAACAGCAACAACATCAATCACTTTACCCGAACGCTCAGTGTTCTCACCAGTGCCAGGGTTTTCATGCGACGCCAGCCAATACCCCCACTTTGTGGGGGGGCAGTGCAAGCTCTACCAAATATCCACACGACTCTTCGCCACCACCCACACCCAGCTTCCCGCCCTATGACGTTCGGACACTTCACTTCGTGGCCTGCGGACGACCGTGGCTACTACACTGGCGTGGAGTACACACCCACAGAAGTTGTTAAGCCTACGTTCGTACGAGCTCATGTAACATAAATGTTGGAAAACCATTGGTTTTTTTAGGATTCGGACAGCGCGCGCGGGTAGAAATTTTGAAAAGTCGTGCAGGTGTTTTTCGAGGACCTACGGTGCGATTCGTGTGATTTTATGATGCGCGGTGCTAAAATTCTTAAGAAGCCCAATGGTTTTTGGAGATTTCGGCGTGCGCGCGCGAAGAAAAAACGAATGTGTCCCGCATGGTATTATTTGACAGGGATGATGGCCCTGGCAGGTGCGCAACCGTTGTCGCAGAAGTTCGAAAAAGTTGCTCGCAAAAGCCCGTTTGACAGAAATGTTTAAAAAGTGTTGGGTTTCCTACGAATCCGCAAGAGCGCGCGGGATGAGATTTTGACATTTTTTTGTTGAAAAACCATTGGTTTTTTGATGTTTTTATGTTAAAATCGCTCCGAACACTAAGCTTTTGGAAAGAATGATTTGCGTCTTGCGCGCGGGGGGGCGTGCACCAGGGGTCCCAACAATAATTATTCTTTAGAATTAATAATGTTCAACAACAACAACAACAATTACTAGCACGTGGGGACACTCCGTTCTCACCAGTGCCAGGGTTTTCATAGGAGGCGGGCAATACCCCCACTTTGTGGGGGGGCCGGTTCAAGCTCTACCAAATTTCCAAACGACTCTTCGCCACCACCCACACCCAGCTTCCCGCCCTATGACGTTCGGACACTTCACTTCGTGGCATGCGGACGACCGTGGCTACTATTCAGGGCCCCGCGGCCGACGACGACGGCGTGCGCGCGCGAAGAAAAAACGAATGTGTCCCGCATGGTATTATTTGACAGGGATGATGGCCCTGGCAGGTGCGCAACCGTTGTTGCAGAAGTTCGAAAAAGTTGCTCGCAAAAGCCCGTTTGACAGAAATGTTTAAAAAGTGTTGGGTTTCCTACGAATCCGCAAGAGCGCGCGGGATGAAATTTTGACAATTCTTGTTTGAAAAACCATTGTTTTGTTTATGTTTTTATGTTAAAATCGCTACGAAAACTAAGGTTTTGGAAGGATTTCGTATTGCGCGCGCGAATGTCCACTTTACCTTATTTTTTGCAAGGGATTCTTGAAGTTTGGATATGTTAGAGCAAGAAATGTCCACTTTAGCTTATTTTTTGCAAGGGAAAACCGATCGTAACAACACAACCGGATCCGGACCAACCCGTTTTGCCTGAGACTTCCTCACGAAAATGATGAAAACGTGGCTGTGGCCTAGGCGCGGCGGGGGGGTCGCGCATCAGGGGCCCCAACAATAATTATTCTTTAGAAGAAATAATGTTCAATAATAACAATAACAACAACAACAACAACAACAACAGCAACAACAGCAACAACGACGACAAGAATTCGCATCGCGGAATTCCACTTCAGCCACGCACCCGGGGACAGTAAATGACAGTTCGGGTCAGCCCCCTCACTCTGATGTACGGGGGGGGGTCCTTTTTAAGTATAGCCGAGAAGGAATAGAACAAAGACAGTGCGCGCAAGCTCGTGAGACGACGGAGGGGGCAAGAGAATGGGGGAGGACGTGAGGGGAGGGGGGGGCGACGCGGAGGAGCAACGACCGGGAGAGCAACGACCGAGAGCGGGGGGGAGGGCAAGAGGAGCACAAGGCAGCTGGACGCTTGGCCCTCAACGGGCCGAGGCTCCGACGAGTACGTTCCTGGCTTAGCGGGCCAACGGCACAGTCGGTGCATCATTTCACCGACCCACTTGGCCCCATGGGCGTGGCCTTGGCCCCACTGGCCGATTTAGCCCCTAGATGGGGATATGGTCAGTTCCCTTCGGGCTTCGATGGGTGTATCCCCAACTGGGAGGCTCAGGTGGTGGGATTCCGGATGGGGATGGGAATGGGGGTGGGGAGAAGGGTCGTTGAAAAAGTACCGGCAATCGATGAAACCCAAATCAATTACGTAACACGTCCTTCGAATCGGTGTCCGGGAAACCCCGCAGTCGGATACCATGCCTGGGCTGCGGATATGCCAAGGATGTCCAGAGGCCGGCGGCACACTCAGAAGGTGGGGGAGGATACGGCCGCTCCAGCGCGCCTTTGGCAAGGCTCCAGGAACCTAGAGTCGTGCCCTGGGGCAGTCCCAATCAGCCTTCCTTTTCCACGCAGTCGCTGCTGGCCACGTCACAGACTCGGAGTGTCGGCGCGAGCAGCTGATGTGGCGACGGAACAGCCACAGCACAGGAGACAGGAGCAGTCACCCTGAATGGGGGCGCGAATTGGTAAACGGCCTGGCAAGTGGAGAGGTGCTCGGAGCCTGGCCAGTTGTCAAAGTGCCCCTGACCCTGAACCTCCCGCCTGTCGCCTCTGAGCCTCACGTCGGGGCATGGCTGCTTGATAGAGGACTCGCCAGCCAAGCACTCCCACCCCTGGCCATGGGATTAGCATGTCACGTCTGAAGCTCAGGGTGCGGGTTGGCTCCTCCTCGTCGTGGCTCCCCTCCAGCACTCCTTCCCTTTATAAAGAGCTCCTCCCTGTCGCCCCCCCAGACGTGTCGGTACTGCGGGCTGGGCCGGGCGTATCGCCCGAGTCTTTCTAGCCATGCATGATGATGAAGCTTCACGATGGAGGGTGGACCCTTTTCAATATCTGGCTCTCGCCGTAGCGCCGCGCGCATTCGTATGAACCGGTCGCAGCAGCTTCACTGACGGAGGCGGGTCGATTTCAAAATGTGGCTCTCGCCGCGGAGCCACGCGCACTCGTCTCCCCAGGTAGAGGGCGGGTCGTTTTCAAAATGTGCCTCTCGCCTTACCGCCGCGCTCATTCGTCTTAAAACCTTGCAGCTGCTTCACTGATGGAGGGCGGCCGATTTCAAAAAAGTGGCTCTCGCCTTCGCGCCGAGCACAGTCGTCTTCAAGTTCGCAGCATTTGACTGATGGAGGCGGGTCCTTCTCAAAATGTGTCTCTCGCCTAAGCGCCGCGCACATTCGTTCAAGCAGAAGTTTACAATAATTTCACTGAAGGGCGGGCCGTTTTCAAAATGCGGCTCTCGCCATAGCGCCGCGCACATTTGTCTTCAAAGTTCGCAGCATGTTCAAGAATCTGCACGGTCGAAGTTTCAGGAATGGCGTTCGGGCACAATTTCGGATTGTCAGGACGCCAGGACGCAACAGTAGATCGCGAGAACGCGATAATCACGTTGATCGCCGGCGATTGATTCCAGAAACCGTGGTCTGGCACGACTGGAGATTCTCAGACAGTTGTCTTCTAACAGGCCACTTCCAGGATTGAAAACGAATTCTTGAAGGGACCTGGCCAGGGAGAACTTGGAAGCAGGGTCTATTGCAGCATCGTTGATGCGTCTTGGGTCTACACTGGTCCTCCTCCTCCTCCTCCTCCTCCTCCTCATCTTCCTCCTCTTCATCGTCCTCCTTCTCCTCTTCCTCCTCCCCGTCACCCTGGCGGGAGGAAGAGGTCCTCGAACATGCCCTGCAACCCTGGCACGATCTCGGGCGTCTCCGCGACGAAGTCGACCTCTCCTGACTTGCCTCCTCCTCGTCCACGTCCCACTTCGCTCGTCCTCCGACTCCTGCAACCTCCCTCTCCTTCCCCCGCATCCTCGATTTTTGCCATTGCCACATCGCAGGCAAAGGGCAAAACATCCAGCAAGTATTTCTCATCTTCCTCCTCTTCTTTCTCTTCTAGACTCTCGGCCCCATCCCCGATCTCCGTCGGCTCCCCCCCCAACACTGTCCCTCCCCTCCCTCCTTCACGTCCTTCGCAGTTGGACAAGCTGCCGAAGCGATGCTTCAAAACGTCAGTCCTGCGCTCCTCCTCTTGCCCCCTCCCTCTCCTCTGCACGACAGCGACGGCGACGAGGACGCCTCCCTCCCCCTCAGACGATGACGCCTCCGACGAAGATGACGGCGACGACGGCGGCGCCCCCAAAGAGGACGAAGACGAGGAGGAGGACAGCGACGACGAAGACGGTAAAGACGACGACGACGACAGTGACGGTGACGGCGGAGACGCCGCTGAAGACGACGACGGCGGCGAGCGACGACTTGTTCGACGAAGACGGCCAGCGACGACTGCGACGGCGACGGCGGAGACGACGACGTGGTCGGACCAGGTGGCGGGCTCCCTCCAGGAAGTCCGGATTTTGCGCGTAGAGGGCGCTGCGCTCCCAGCTCTCCTTCGCCCCCCCCCTGTCTCGCTTCGGAGAAGCGGGAGGCGGGAGGGAAATCCGAGGATGGAGGATCGAGACGAGGGGGGGAGGAGGGAAGTCCGAGGATGGGCCATTGAGTTCCTGCACGCGCCTGGCCGCTTTTGGGTTCCTGGAGAGGGCCTCCAGGGACCTCTGGAGGCGCTCCGGGACCTCCAAGAACCTGCAGGGTCCTCCGCTGGAGGCATCCCGTTTCTCAGGACCTCCAGGGGTGGCGCCCTCCGATTTGGCGTCGCATGAAGAAACGCGACGGCTGCTGCTGTTTCTTCTCCGTTTTCGGGGTCGTTCGGGCACCGCTGCTATTTGTGATTTGATTTGCGATGGCGTATACGTATACGTGTGTATATATATATATATACATATATATATATATGTATATAGATCCACATGTTTTACATGCTGCGTCTATCCATTTATCAGCCACTGCGCCTCGAATTACGAATTGGAATTACCCCCAGGCTCTCATGTGTTCTCCGTTTTCTGTGCTCAGGAATTTGGAGTTCTAGTATGCTGAGGGCTGGGGCCCCGAATTCTCAAATTCCCTGGGCGCTCCCGCGCGTTCCTGGGCTGCCTAGCGTGACTTTTGCAGAAGCCAGGGGGCCCCAAGACGGGCCAAGAGGGCCCCAGAAAGCGTCCAAGAGGGTCCAAGAGGCCTCCAAGACGGCCCAAGAGCGCTCCAAGATGCCCAAGAGGGCCCCAAGACGGTCCAAGAGGCTTCAAAAAAGCTCCAAGAGCGCTCCAAGTGGATCCCCAAGAGGGGTCAAGGAGGTGCACATCATTGATGTTCCGTATGTTTGTCTATATTACCTAACAGCATTTGCTGATAGGTTTCTAGTGGTCTCAAAAGAAAACATCTTGACGCCCCAGGGGGGTCGGGGCGGGATCCGGACAAGGAACCGGACGGATCCGTCAGCCCCAGGAGTCTTTAGGAATCCTTCGGAATTTTTAAAAATCCTTAGGAATCCATTCCCAGAACACAATTCCCACGCCACATTTAGAACGCCCGGAACCAACTGTAGGTCACTTCGTGTTCTTCGTGTTCCCAGAACACCATTCCCAGGTCACATTTTGAATGCCCGGAGCCAACTGTAGGCCACTTCGTGTTCTTCGTGTTCCCAGAACACCATTCCTGTACCATAGTTTGAATGTCCGGAGCCAACTGTATGCCACTTCGTGTTCTTCGTGTTCCCAGAACACCATTCCCAGGCCACATGTTGAATGCCCGGAGCCAACTGTAGGCCACTTCGTGTTCTTCGTGTTCCCAGAACACCATTCCTGCACCATATTTTAATTCCCAGAGCCAACTGTGGGCCACTTCGTGATCTTCGTGTTCCAAGAACACCAGTCCTGTGCAATATTTTGAATGCCCGAGCTCAGGCAGGCTGAGGCCAGGCAGGCTGAGGCCGAGGCAGGCTGAAGCTGAGGCTGAGGCACGCGGAGGCAGGCTGAGGCTGAGGCTGAGGCAGGCTGAGGCTGAGGCAGGCTGAGGCTGAGGCTGACGCAGTCTGAGGCAGCTGAGGCTGAGGCTGAGGCTGAGCTGAGGCTGAGGCAGGCTGAGACTGAGGCTGAGGCAGGCTGAGGCTGAGGCTGATGCAGGCTGAGGCTGAGAGGCTGACGCTGAGGCTGAGGCAGGCTGAGGCTGAGGCTAGGGCCTAGGCAGGCTGAGGCTGAGGCTGAGGCAAGCCGAGGCAGGCTGAGGCTGAGGCTGAAGCTGAGGCAGGCTGAGGCTGAGGCTGAGGCTGCGGCTGAGGCTGAGGCAAGGCGGCTGAGGCAGGCTGAGGCTGAGGCTGATGCAGGCTGAGGCTGAGGCAGGCTGAGGCTGAGGCTGAGGCAGGCTGAGGCTGAGGCTGCGGCCGAGGCAGGCTGAGGCTGAGGCCGAGGCAAGCCGAGGCAGGCTGAGGCTGAGGCTGAGGCTGATGCTGAGGCAGGCTGAGTCTGAGACAGGCTGAGGCTGAGGCTGAGGCAGGCTGAGGCTGAGGCAGGCTGAGGCTGAAGCCGAGGCAGGCGAATCCTTCGGAATCCTTAGGATTCCCTGGGAATCCTTTAGGATTCCTTAGGAATCCATAGGAATCAGGCATCCTAAGGATTCCTAAGGTTTCCTAAGGATTCCTATGGATTCCTAAGGATGCCTAAGGATGCCTTAGGAATCCCTAGGAATCCTTAGGATTCCATTGAATCCTAAGGCCGTTGCCACTGCGACTGTCATTGCGAATGCGAATGCGACTGCGAGAACAGCAGAGTTCTACAACTGGATTATCACCTGAATCTTAAGGGGAATGCTTCCAGATATGCATGCTTATACACATCGCTGTTAGGTTGCTTTGCCGGGATAATGTTTCGCGCTCTCGCGTTTTCGGGCTTCCGACGTTCCAAGATGGCTAGAGAGGCTCCCAAGCTCGCCCCAAGACGGCCCAAGAGGCCCCCAAGAGGGCCCCAACACGGTCCATCAGTGCCCCAAAACGGCCCAAGAGGCGCCTAAGATCTCCCAAGAGGGCCCCAAGACGGCCCCAAGAGGCGCCCAAGAGGAACACGAACCGACAAGTCGAGCCTTCCGCCTCATAGGCCCCAGGAGGCCCCCAGGAGGCCCCACGAGGCCCCCAAGAGAGCCCAAGAGGCCCCCTAGAGGCACCCTAGAGGCACCACGAGGCCCCGAACGGCCCCCAGGAATCCTCAATACTGCCTTCAAGAGGCCCCCCAGAGGCCTCTTACGATATCCAGACGAGCATCCAAGAGGCCTCTAACCCACAACCCAAGCACGGTGGCGAGATGGGGCGAAGGCCACTCGTATTCTTATATTTTCTTATATTTTTGTTACCCGGATCGCCCACCCCACCCCCACCCCTAAACTGGACCCCCCCCAGGGACGCCCTGGACGCCCTTTCGGACGTCTCAGCGGCCCCCTGGACGCTCATGGAAAAGGTCCGCTGGCACTTCTGGGCGTCCCGGGGCGCCTTGCCGGGCCTTGCGAGCAGACTCAAGGCGATCAGAGGGGTCATCGGAGAGGCGCGAGAGAGACCCAAGACAGCACAAAAGCGCTCCAAGAGGAACCTCGATGGTTTGAAGACGGCCCAAGAGGCCCCCAAGACGCCCCAAGAGGCTGTTAAAAAAGCCCCGAAGAAGCAACAATCATCCCATTGCCTGGGGAAAACTTATAAGTTCAACACATCCGCTGTTTGAAACTTCGCAGCGTCCAAGACAGCCCGATGGGCCCCCGATATCGCCCCAAGTCGGCCCAAGACGCCCCCCCGAGGGCTTGAAGACGGCCCAAGAGGGCCCCAAGACTGCCCCAGAGAGCCCCGAGACTGCCCGCAAGAAGCCCAAGATGCCCCGAGAATGCTCCCAAGAGAGACCCACGAAAGCCATGGGAACCCCTCAAAAAGGCCATTGGAGGCCCCCAAGAGGACCCTAGATGGCTTCAGAAAAATCTCTGAAGGGCCCCAGCTCCCCAAGACGGCCCAAAAAGGCCCCGCGACGGCCCAAGAGGGCCCAAGCACGGTCCCCCAAAAAACCCCAAAAGGCCCAGACGGCGTTTTCCTACGAATTACATCGAGCTGACCCGACGATCTTGGTTCCACGCTTGCGGCTCGAGGTTCAAGCTCCTTGATCGAGAGAGACAGGCAATGGACCTAGATTCGAAGTTCGACGATCGAAGATTTCCCGAGTGCCTGGAGCCCTCCAGGCATTCAGGAATCTACCAAGAATCGACTTGTTCGGAGCTGCTGCGACTTCTTCGGCGTGTCATGGGAACGCCCCTTATTTCCTTAAAGGACCTTCGCGCGTGAACAAATATCATTCCTTCCCCACTCCTGCGCACAAGCGTGCAAGCGCATCGGGCGAGAGCGGCGTCAGCAGGCACCAAGGATATCAGAAAAATTAGCCGGTCGCCCGTCCAGGCTTCGAGGCCCCCCCGCTGAAACATATAAAAACATTTGTATACTAGAACCATCGCGTGCGCTTCGCGCGCGCTCAAGTTCTAGCTCGGCTTGATCGGCTAACTCATGTAATATCACGTTCGTCGCTTCTTGCGTCCAGGGACTCCCTTGGAGGCCCTGCCCAAGCCTCGGAATCGTAAAGAAGGGGAAATGCGGAAACGCAGAAAACACTAATTTCCTTTAGGTATTCAACGATTTGGGGTCCTCAAAGGCTCCCTGCTTTTTTTTGGGGGGGGATGAGGGGGCTCTGAATTGTGGTCTGTTGTGCACGAGTAGACCGGGGGCCAAATTTGGAGAGAAAATAAAGAATTGTGGGACTCCCATGTTTTTCCAGTTCCTCGGCGCTGTTCGGCGCTGTTTTTTGTTTGTGCCTCACGGGTTCTGTTCGCCGGGCCCCTCTGGGGTGTGGGATCTTTCGGACCACCTGGAGCTCCTGGAGGCCTCCTGGAGGCCTCCTGGAGGCCTGCAGAGCCGCAGGAAGGGTCTCGGGCTGCACGGGAGCGTGTTGGGCCGTTCTTTATGTTCTGGGGGCTCCTTGAGGTCGTCATGGGCTGTCCTTCGGCGTCTTGGGGTCTCCCCCCGGGAAGCAGGGAGGCGCGGTACCGGCCAGGTGTCAGGGGGTGTGTGGGACCCCCGAGTAGGAGTCCCACTTTGGAAAAAAAGGAACTCTAGGAATTCCGTTGTTTTCAGAAAGCCCCGAGGCGCGGTACCGGCCAGATGTCAGGGGATAGTAGGAGGTCCACTCTGACCTTTTTTTTAATAAGAAATAAATAAAGAAATAAAGAAATACATAAAGGAATAATTACATAAATTAAGAAATGAATAAATAAATAAATAAATAAATAAATACATATATATATATATATATATAAAAGAATTCGTGGAATTCCCTCTTGTATTCCAACGTCCTCGATCTTCGAGATTTGGAAGCGAAAAAACGTGAGAAGGCGAATAACATGGGAAAAACCATTGGAAATCAACGATTTCACGCTCTTTGGGCTCTCTCGGGGCGGCTCTCGCAGCTCTCTTGGGCTGTTCTTGGAGCCTCGTCGGGGTCTTTCTGTGGCCTCTCAAGAATCGGGGGTGTGTTGGGGGCCTCTGGGGGGTCCTGGAGGCCTCTCGGAAGTCTCTGGAAGCCTCCTGCTCCCGCTC